CTCTCAACTGTATTTTGTTTGTTGACTTCTTTTCCACCCTGAAATGTAAGTCATCAGAAATGTAAGATTTTTGTTGTACTTTTGGGGTGTAGGAAAAACAGACAGCTAGTGTCATCTGAGGGAGGAAGCCTCCCAGAGCATGCTTAATTCAATCCCCATAACAGAATCTTTGCTAAATGCTCTGTGGTAATGACATTGCACTTAGACGCACTGATATGTGAAAAAGAAGAAATGTGGGGGGAAGAGTGTGGAATACCTAATGCTACATTTCACTATCATAATTGGTTTAGATACTATAAATCTTTCTAGATTTGCATTTTTTTAACAAAAAATTTTGCTCTTTCAAGCACTAATTCAGGCTTGCTAGCCTTAAGTTTGATAAAGTTTCCAGTAATGAGTTTTTCAAATGTTAAACTTGTTATTCTATTCTTTTTGATTGAAACTAAAATTGCTTTTCAGACACAAAACTGTCAGCATAAGATCACGACTGATAAATTGACTTGTAGTTAACAAGTGTTCCTGTCTCCATCTTTCAATTGACTTTCCTCACATCAGGAGAAGGCAGGATGGCCGAAGACTGAGGGAGACTATAATGACATGGGAACCCCTCACCCATCAATGAGCTCTGGTTGAGGGCTGTTGGGAACCCTGAGTGAGGCCATCCTGCTTTCCAGCATCACATGAGGGTATGGTTCAGGGGTGAGCACCCAACGCAAGGGCAGCAGCATAGAATGTGTTTGCAGCAGACCTTGCAGGACATGCCTTTCTACTGTGAATGTACCTAGTGTTTGCTGTGGATGAAGGCTGGCATCTGAGATCACTTGTGATCAGGACTTGCACATTAAGTCAGTAGCAGCAAAGGTTGCCCAGATCATCCATCACTGGCAGGAGTAAGGGTGAGCTGAGAGCTTGTCTTGCATGTATTTAGGGCAGGATGAAAGCTGTGCACTGTGAACTCCAGGAACTAAAAGCAATGCCCAAGTTACAGAGGATGTGACCTAAACCCAGGACAGGTCAGTAGGGTGCTGTTTTAGGGATGCTGGAGCAGCAGAGACCTGTTAAGAGGAATGAACATGGTGTGCTGAGCACATTCCTGGGGGCCATGCTGCTTCTAGTGGGCAGGTGCCCTGTTGGAGCATACCTACAGTCTTAATGGCCATGTCTGTGTGGGGCATGAGAGTCCAAGAAACATTTGGGACGTTTTTCCTTTTCAAAGACATTTCAAATTTCTTGAATTAAATTAAATCTTACCACCTTATGTCAATTCACACTTAGATTTGCTGGGCAACGTAGGAATGCTTCTGGCAGTTCTGTGCACTGAGGTGGTTGTTGTGACTACGAGCATGCATTACTGTGTACTGGTTCAGCAGCTGATCCTGTCCTGGATTGACCTGGTCCAGAGCTGAAGGGGATGGCAGGAGCCATACTTGCTGCAGCTCTGAGAGCAGGCAGGATGGGTTTCCTGAACCCCAGAGCTGCTGGTGCAAAGCAAGGATCCATAAGTGAGTCCTGCAAGGACCTCAGAGGTGATGCAGAAGAACATGAGGATTTGGTCAGAACAAGCTCATGCCAAAGAAACACAGGGAAATGTGGCCCACATCTTGATAATTGGATCTATCCCTCTCTTTCATAAGGGCTCTACAATCTCAGAGCTTTGGGTGAAAGCCTGTTTTCCAGCATAGCAACTTACACCACAGCTGGGTTGACAGCACCACTGATGGAAGGCTTGTAGAGGATATTTGTTAGTGCCATCAAAAAAATCCAAAGACTTTTGCCGTTACTTGATTTATTGGTCCTGTATTAAAAAGAAAAGCAAAAGAACAACAACAACAGCAATGAACAAACAAACAAATAAACACCAAAAACAACCAACCCCACAACAAAAAAAAACACACAAACAACTTTCATCTATGGAATCTCCCAGAAGAACACCAGAAATCATATGTTCAGCAGGGGTTTATTGACAATGTTATTAACAAATACCGTTAGATATTTGAAAATACCATGGGGTTTTTGTTGTGACTTTTTTGACATGTCAGCTACAAAGCTGGAGGAAGCACAGAAAGATTTTGCAACTTCTGTTTGAAGAGAAACATTTGAGGAATAACTTGAACTGTCAGCTAGCACCAGGGCTCAGCACAAATCCAGCAGTATGGGAACCTCCATGCTCCCCAGAAGTTCACTAAACCTGTGAACAGTGAACTTAGCTCAATGCTGGGCAGAAACCAGGCTCCTGGAGTACTTCAATTAAAAACAAGTTCAGAGACACTCAGAATCACAGGGCAAAAGCAGAAGTGAGTAAACCTGTCAGAAGGATAAGGAAGAAGACAGAGACTTAGCAGGGGCTGTAGAAGAAATGAGTGTGCAGTTGCCTGTACAAATAACTAAAGAAATCATCAAACCAGCTAAGCAGAAAGAGAACTTGAGGTGAAATTCTGAGCTGTACCAAAATGCACTGAACATCCTGGAGACTGAAGGCTGGTGAAAGATGCTCTTTGCATCTTCAGCGATCGGGTACTTCAGAGAGCAGTTCTCCAGTGCACAGGATGTCACTGAGGTAGATTAGCTCCTGTGGTGAGCTGCAAAGGTGATGGCGAAGCAGGCAGGCAATGTGTCTGGGATCCCAAGATCGTTCTCACAGAAGATGTAACTCCTCATGGCCAGGGGGTTAGTGTGTGCACCACCCAGGACACTTTGTCACCTCCATGCAGAAGTTTGTCTGCTTTAGAAGGGTTTGTTGTACCTGGCACAGGTTTCTGTTGAGGGCAGATACCCAGATGAGTGTGTTCAGGTACAGGGATCACTGTTGATCGGGTGGAGCTGTTCTTTTTCACTGTCAAAACTAGATTGCTCTGAGCCAAATGGGAACAAGGCTGGCTCTTGCTGACCAACCTTTTCCTTGACCAGTCCCTGCCTCAGTGCTGTCTGCTCTGACACGTTGGATTTTTTTTTTTTTCCCAATGTCTTCTCGGGACTCTTCAAATGCCAGCTTATTTAAAGCCAACAGTAGGTCAGGAAACAATTTGAGCAGTTCTAGTGCTCACATACAAACTATTTCTTTTTTACCTCATTTCTGTTGTGAAAATACATTTCTCTCCCAGTCACTGATGACAAGGAATGACATTTTTCTCTCTAACCCATGATTATCTCTCCTCTGCATATTCTTCAAAACAGCAGAAATGTAGAAAATACTTCTGCTTTTTCTACATTGTTATGGAGAAACATTGTTATGATAAAACTGTGCTCATATTATAGTAAATCATTCTTGTGGAATGCTGAATTGTTTATTCCTTTTTTATGCCTGATAACTCATAGAATTATAGAATCGCAGAATGGTTAGGGTTGGAAAGGACCTTAAGATCATCTAGTTCCAACACCCCTGCCGTGGGCAGGGACACCTTACGCTAAATCATATCACCCAAGGCTCTGTCCAACCTGGCCTTGAACACTGCCAGGGATGGAGCATTCACAACCTCCCTGGGCAACCCATTCCAGTGCCTCACCACCCTAACAGGAAAGAATTTCCTTCTTATATCCAATCTAAACTTCCCCTGTTTCAGTTTTAACCCGTTACCCCTTGTCCTATCACTACAGTCCCTAATGAAGAGTCCCTCTCCAGCATCCCTGTAAGCCCCCTTCAAGATACTGGGAGGCTGCTATGAGGTCTCCACGCAGCCTTCTCTTCCCCAGGCTGAACAGCCCCAACTTACTCAGCCTATCTTTGTACAGGAGGTGCTCCTGCTCCCTGATCATCCTGGTGGCCCTCCTCGGGACTTGTTCCAACAGTTCCATGTCCTTTTGAGGACACCGGAACTACACAGTACTCCAGGTGAGGTCTCACAAGAGCAGAGTAGAGGGGCAGGATCACCTCCTTTGACCTGCTGGTCATGCTCCTCTTGATGCAGCCTAGGATACAGTTGGCTTTCTCGGCTGTGAGCACACACTGAAGCTGGCTCATGTTCATTTTCTCATCAACCAACACCCCCAAGTCCTTCTCCACAGGGCTGCTATGAATCATTTCTGGACAATTATTTGGACATACTTTTTATTTCTTCAATAGCATCTGTTTATTTCTTTATTCTGCCCAGATGCATTTTTTTTTGGTGTGTTCTATCACCTTCCCCATATTCTCTCTTGTTTTGTGCTGCTTTTGCTGTTGTTTTTTTTTTTTTTCAAGCCCGGGCTACTTCACCTGATCAGCTTAACTCTTCCTAATAGGATTTCAAATTTAAGGCCATTCTAGCACCAGCTACAAAGGAATTTCAACCCCTAGCATGGAGCGCTATACTGAAGATAGAACAACAGATTAAAACTGTCCAGTCCTAGATGAAGCCTAACCAGGCAGGGGAAGAGCAAAATGTAAAGGCTATCAAAATAACCAAGTTTTGACCCTTTTTTTTCCTGTGTTTATTTATAGAGAACTGTAGAGGCACAAAAGATCCAGGACTTAATGGGGATGAAGATGGGCATCAGCACATAAAGGGTCAATTGAGTTCTTAAGAGCTCCTTGAAACAATTCAGAAACTTAGTCTCCTTCAGTCTTCCCTTTCCCTGACAGAAGCTGCTCCAGAGCTGTTACCTTTTAGTTTCTCTCATCAGAAAATATAAGTCTTTAATGGGGCCATAACCAATCTCTATTTCCGGACAAACAGAAGAAAACATACAAATGGCCATTTAGTAGGCTGTGTAATATCTCACAGTGAACAGTTCAGTTGACTCCCAGAATGTATATACTTTCAGGCTGTCATCTTTTTAAATGGTCTGAGTGCAATGTCAATGCAAAAAACATCACTGTAAAGAAAAAAAACAAAACACCAACATTGTAATGCCTTCTAAACTGTATGAATCTTTGCTACAAATAACTGTATTTTGGATTTGCTATAACCTTGTTCTTTCTACATAGCTAGAAACAGTACATTAAACTGAGGTTTAAAATATTAGAATGAAAAAAGCAAGAATCCACCTGGTTTGGGTGATTTACATATCCTGATACTGATAATTGGGTGTATTTTGGCACCTGAAGTGATGATGGAGTGAATGGTTCTCAGAGTTCCTGGCTGCACAAACACAGCACTGTATCCTGCTAATGTTTTATTTCTCTGAGGAGGCATCAGAGGTATGTAATTCATAAAGGGTCTAATTTATTGCTGAACTCGAGAGAAAGTTTGCCAGGGACTTAATAGAACCTGGGAAGAGACTCAACACCTGTAGAAAAACAAGGATGAGAAATAAATTCCAGCTAGCTAATGGATTTGGTGCATGTGTGTATGCTTGTGCTGTTAATGTCAGAAAAGATAAAACAATCATTTTCCCTTAATCCTTCAGGATGTATCCTCTCCATTGCATTTTTGAAACATCCATCCTTGTTTTCTTCATGTGTTGCCTGCAGATTGCTTATTCCCTCAGTTACCAGCATGTGTTAGCTCCCCTAAGCCAATATGAAGATTGCTTCTATGTACTTGATGGGATAAACCAGACCCTGGCCTATAGGCCATCCTTTTCCCTTGTTTTATTCCAGTTCGCAGCACTGCCTTGCGTGCAAAATTCATGCAAACACATGAGTGCAAAATGCACAAGTCAGCAGAAACCTTGTCTTTTTATAGAAGAGTCTTGAAAACCTATATTAAAACAGCCACTTCTGGAGCAACAGGAAACATGCACCATCAGCAGATGTACTCAAGAGCAGACAGGAGAAGAGCAACAGGACAATGTTTTTCTTCAAGGGGCAGGAGAGTGGGTTGCAGCTGTAGCTGCAGAGAGCATTCACAACTCTGTCAGTGTTGTGGAGGATCATCGTCTCCTGCTTTTGGAACAACATTCAGGAGATGCTGCTGGCCTAACATCCAAGGAGGAGGTTACTAATAAGGGTGCCGTTTGCCAGACATGCCTCATGGGTTCAGTTGTTCCTTGGGCAGCTCCTCATGAAAAGTACCAATAGGAGATGTTAGTAGAGCCTTGCTGTGCTCTTTTTCTCCTCTGTATCTGGATTAGCTCAACTGCAACCAACCCACAAGTTGGCAAAGACAGAACACTGGCAGGAGTGATGGGTTTCTCCTGATAGCATTAGCTTGCTAAGGTTTCACATGACTATGTTAAACGCAGCTTAGAAACAAGTCCTGGAGAAAATCTGATGTCTCTGGAGGAGTCAGATTCAAACACAAGGTGATAAATATGGTCCACACACAAAACTGTCCACACTCTGCTCAAAGCTGTCCTTCAGGTCTGTCTTTGTCCTTGCCACACTGCAGTGAGTGTGTTGGTTATTACTGCTCACTTGCTATGGGTTGTTTTCCTGGTTTAGCTTTTGGTCAGTAAATGATCTGAGACTCAGGTGGAACCACCTCTTTCTGTGACAGGCAGGTGGGTTTGCTCCCAGCTGGGTTAGAAGGAGTATCTCACCACCCAGCATCCAACAGGAAAATCTTTAAACTCAGTTTTCTTCTCTGGGGCACTCTTCAGGCGTGCTTTGGATACACAGGGCCTATCTTGCAGTTGAATTATTAAAAAAAGCCTGAGAGTCAATCATGAATACTCAGGTGTACTGGAGCAACCTGTTCTTCTTATTAAATAGTGCACCATTTTCCCAAAAGAATAAGAAATACAATATTGGAGAGGAGAGTTGATGAAAGAAAGGGACCACAGTGAATACCAGCTGAGGTTTAATAATCTGTCTTCCCTGCAGAAATAACCTCTGGCTGCTTATGAACACAACTGATCTGCACACATGGCAGGGCTTCCTTTGGTCAGCACAGCCAGGGCAGTGAGGGCCAGAGCAGCTCTGAGGCCAGGGACCAGCCATTGGCATGGAGGAGGGAGACCCCATCTTTGTAATTAACTTGGCAGGTATCTTCCTGCAATAAACACTCCTGCACATGCCACAGCACCCAACCTCCCTTTCCGCAGCCTGGGGACAGGAATCCAACAGCTTCCTTTCTTCCTGAAATTCTGAGGGATGAGACAAAATAACGGTATTTAGGCTTGCTTTCTCCAGCTCTCTCTGTATCTTTCACACATGAGCACACTTGTCTTCTGATTTCATCAAGTATTATTACTGAAACCTTGATTGTCTTTATCATGGTATAGTTTGCTCTGGAATTATTTTTCCTCTTCATTTAATACTTTTACCTTCATATAACGTATCTCTGAACACTTTTAGCAACTGCATAAACACTATACAAATGTAAGTTATTTACTGTACTATCTTGACATAACACAAAGAGCATTATTGAAAGCTACCACATACTTATAACCTAACAGGCATTTTGCAATGTGTTTATTATAACTGCGGTGCATTTCATAAGAAGTAAAGAACAACTGAGGCACATAGTAGGCATTTTTTTGGTGGTGCAGTCTTGAATTACCTCCATATCTTTATTCAGTCACTTTTTTCCTATTTCTTAGCTCTTTGTATCCTAGAAATTTAGGAAAACAAAATCAAGTAGAAAAACACAGACAAAGCCCACAGGTCCCTAAAGCTAGTTTCCCTATTTTCTTTCATATTTTCCTCTCTTTCCAAGAATCTTGTTTCTGAACATCTTTCTCCACGAGATCTATAGCATGTCAGCCATGGGGACCAATTGCTTCATCAGTCCCTATCCTCAAACATTGCCTTTATCTTTCTACTCTTGAATTTAATTTCAGCAAAGACAAAACTGCTACAGAAGCTGCTTAAGTCTGGGTTCTCATACAAATCGGGGGGGGGATGTGGTGCAAAAACATGTACATTTCCATGGCAGAGAGCTGCAGAGACTGATTGTCGCTGCTGAGGGTGAAGGGGAGGCAAGAGCCACCTGGGTTGGTGGTCCGTGCTCAGAGGAGTGGGCTGTCCTGCCTGGGAACACGAAACAGGATCTTTTCCCTACATGGAGCTGGGCTTGGCACTTACCCCAGCAGTGTCTCCACAGGCTCTGGAAAGGATGGATGTGATCCTGGCCCACTATGGGAGTGCAGTGCTTTCGACTGAGCCCCTCTGCTCCAAGGTGCCTGCAGCAGGTAGAGCAGGAGCTGTAGGGACAGTGAGGACCTTTGTCATAGCAGCAGGCAGCAGGCAGGCAGGGTTGGCAGAGGACCAGTGTTCCTGCCCAAAGGGCTTCCACAGCATGGTGGGGAGGTGCGACCAAGCCTTCCCAGACTAAGCCCAATGCTAAGGGCTCTGCTATCCCTGTCTCCCACCCATGTCTGAGGGCAGCTCAAGTGATGCTTCTGTATGGCAAATCCTTCTAGGTCAAGATAAACAGTGCCTCACTTCCAAGTAATGCATATCACCATACTTCGAAATCCCACCAAAGGAGAAGAAAAGGCTGGTTTACAGCCTTAGGTTTGTTGGTGGAATAATATAAAAATGTACCACTATGGCAAACTATAATAGCTAAATGGATTTTTTTCTTTTTTTTTTTTTTTGTTTTTTTTTTCCTTCATTTAAAAAGCTGCATTCCTAAAAATAGTGTGCAACAAATGGGAAGCAACATTGCTGCCTTCAGGACAGAAGAAAGGAGGCTGAGCAGAAGCATATGTGGGCAGGAGGAACCCTTGGCTTCATGTACTTCAATAGTCCTCATCGAGCTGATTTCCCAACAGCCTGAGAAGCTAGGATCATTTCTATCATGTCTGTGATGGCACTTTCATTTACCTGAGTGTAATGGTTTAAGCCCAGGCCATAAATCAGGACCACACAGTCTACCCTACCCCATGCCCCCACCTCCACCCCCCACCCTTTCTTCCCCCTGCTCCCGGAGGGATGGCAAGGAGAATTGATAGAATGTAACTCCCATGGGTTGAGATAAGAACAGTTTAATAACTAAGGTATAACACAAATCACTACTGCTACTACCAACAACAATAATAATGATAAAGGAAATAATAAGTGAAGAGAATACAACTGCTCACCACCTGCAGACTGATAATACCCAGGTCCCCACAGTGATCTAGCCCTTCCAGGTAACTCTCAGTTACATCCTGGGCATGACGTGCTGTGGTATGGAACACCTCTTTGGTCAGTTTGGGTCAGGTGTCCTGTCTCTGCTTCCTGCCAGCTTCCCCTCCTCCCTGGCAGAGCATGAGGCTCACAAAGTCCTTGGTCAGAGTAAACATTACTGAGCAGCAACTAAAAACAGGTGTTATCAGCGCTGCTCCCAGGCTGAAAGTCAAAAACACTGCACTGCACCAGCTACTAAGAAGGAGAAAAAAAAGACTGCTACTGCTGAACCCAGGACACTGGGGATCATCGTTGTGAAGAGAGGAGAATCGGAAAGGAACCAGCAATAACTGAACATCCCAGAAAATATCTGAAGGTCAGGCATACCTCCTCCAACCTATCTCACACAGTCTTCTGTCTCACTGCCATGCTCACAGGGCAGCAGTGGGCAGTGGCTGTGGTTTCAGACAAAGTTCAAGATTACGTTATCCATGGACAATACCTGAAAGGGATCAGAAAGGGAAAACAAGCAGAAGAAGGAGCAAGCAAACACATTTCCAGCAACAGATGCTCAGGGATCCATAACCTCCTCCCATTCCTCATCACCAACATTTAGCAAATGCTGCCCATCGTTGAGCATCACATTTCCATATTGCAACCCTTGCAAAAAAGAAAACAAATCAGTATGGGAAAAGAAGTGGAAAGAAAATGACGATCAATGGCCAGGACCAAGCTCTTGAGCAGTGCTGGCTACAGTCTCCTCTCGGGCAGCTCCCTGTCTCTGGCAGCTCTTGGAACACAGAGCTGGTGGGGGCAGGATGGTACATGGGTACACCACCAGGCTGGGGGCAAGCAGGCAGCATCCTGCTTGTCCAAAATGGGGTGACAGGGGCATGAAACAGCCTGACATTACCTGGGTATAGGGGAACACAAGGAAAGGCTTCCTCATGAGCACCAGCACCATGGGAATGTCCTCCACAAAAAGAACCACTGGCAAATTTAGAATTACAAGTTTGTGCCTTTGGACGTATGTGTGGGTACCCATGCATGTATTTTCACCGAAAGATAATTTGTTTCATAAAAATATTTTGCAGTCCTACTGACTTTGCCTTTCATTCTCTTCACAGCTGTCATGGTGTTTGCATGGACAGGGGTACCTTGCCTCTATCACATTGGGAAGGACCCACTTGTAAATAAATGCAGAAGCACTTAGAATGGTTCAGAAAGGTATAGCAGCCCAGAAACCTGGTTATCTACAGCCCAGAAGCAGCTCAAATGGCAGGTGTAATTCTGGTGGTAGCAGGTTTGAGACCTATAGGTAAACTATATTTCTAGGATTTCTGTAGAATCATAGAATGGTTTGGGTTGGAAGGGACCTTAAAGACAATCTCATTCCAAACCCCCTGCCACAAGCAGGGGCACCTTCCACTGGACCAGGTTGCTCAAAGCCCTGAATTATACAGCACCACATCTATCAGGATGTGCTAAGACATAAAAATACCTTAAGAAGGCCTTTAAAAGTCTTTCCATCAGATTCTTTAGCTTTCAATCAGCACTCTAGGATACTTCATGCTGAAGAGAGTGGGGTTTATTATGTGACTAAAAGCTGCAGCATCAAGCCATGCCCAAGAGCACAGAAGCACGGGATCTACAAATGGACTTACAGTTCAGGATGCCTGGCCCTGCTATTGGAAGGGAGGCATCAGAGGGGCTGGATTTGCAGTCTGTGGGCAGAAGCACTCCTCTGGGGACAGGCATTGCCTTCCTCAGGGCTTGGAGCCTATCCCACACGTTGTGGAGGAGGGTACTGCACCCTGGTGTACACCCAAAGGCTTCAGGAGCATGAGTACATGGGTACCTACAACAGGGATATCAATGCGAAGAGCTCCCGTGTAAGAGGTTCTTGTTAATTTCCTCCACAAGAGCAGTATTTAGAATAGCAATGAAGTACCAGTTTGGGGTGAATGTTGTTACACCTGTGAGTTATCCAGGTCACAGCTGGTGCTGGTGGAAGGCAGGCAAAGCTGCCTGTGCACCTTCAAGTGCCTCCCTTGTCATCTTTTTTGACTACAGAACAGGGAGGCTGTATTAAAGATAAATGGACTACATTGCATGGAGATGGCTGAATGGTTTAACATAGCCAGTTTTCTCAGGATAAACAGTTCAGAACAGCTTTTTCAGTACAGGACTGCCATTCCATCATCTACAGCACCTAGGGCTTTCTCCAGTGCTGATGTCCCTGCCCAGATCCCTTCTTCTTCACTGCTTTTCAAGCTGTCCACAGCAGAGCAGAGCTCTGTGCTGGGAGGGCATCCATCCTTCCCGCTCTGCTGCCTTGGGTTCTATCCACACCTGCACAGCAAACCCTGGGGAGCTCCTGCATTGCATCCTCCCATCACCACCCACCCACAACCTACTTCAGAAAATGTTGTTTTTCTGAGTGCTGTCTTGTGGTAGGAATGCTCCCAAAATCAACCACAGCACTGAAACAGGCTGGAAGAATGAGGGCTTGCTCCATCAGCTAGATCTAGAGAAATACAGGCGTTTGATTCTGATCTGGTGTAGGAAAAAATACACTTCCTTTTTTCTCATGAGCAAGAAATTCAATTTCAGAAAAATCTAAACAAATCAACATCAAAGTCTGCTATTCATGTCTGTCAGAATACGGGTATTATGGTAGAATTATGAAGCCACAAGAGTGATGTACTTTTATATACACAACAGAAGCTGTTAACATGATTGTTAATCTGTAAAGTGTTTTTTTTCCAAGGAGAAAACAGACTAAATTACAGAACCAGTCATCAGTAAATGAACACTCTCATAGATCTGTTCTTACATGTGCGAGAAAATGTAGGGCAAAAACTGAGAGCAGCAGAAGCTGACTGCCCGTGAAAATCAAACCTGTGAACACTGGGCCTGAGGTGGATGTATTATTTGCATATCTAGAAAGGTCAGATTAGACCCAGACAGATGACAGTTTGTTGAGGGTCAGGCAGCCAGTGAGGGACAGCTCCCTTTGATAAACCATATCGGCTGCTCCCATCTTCCTCTTCTTTGAGCCAATATGTAAACAGAAATATTGTGGATGAGAAATTCTATGATGTTATCCTTCCTTTGCTTGACTGACAGCCAGAAACCCAAAGGGAGATCCTTTTCCAGCTCAAAGACAAGCTGAGCACAAACACGCCAGTAAGCATCAGTTCCTTGGCTTCCCAGCCTGAGGACTTGTTGGGGACAAATATCACTCTCCTGAGATGTCCGCACAGAAGCCATCATGTCCAAGTAAAGCGCAGTAGATGGGTTAAGTATGCAAGTGGCTAATTGTTCATGAATGCAATGCAGCAGTGCTAGCTGTTGTAGCTCCCAGTAAGAAAAGCAATCAACCCTGTAAGGTATTTGATTAAAATGCCTTTTACTGGAGAGAGGTAACGCAATAAGGAAAAAAAAAGGGATCATATCCTTCCAGATGCAGAGGATGCCATGCAATGCAGCACTGGCTAGAACTCTAGCCAGAGCATGGCACAGTGCAGATCCCATCCTTGCTGGGGCTCACCAGCATAAGGATTTTCTGAGGTGCAAACAATTCAACTCATCATTGCTACCATGAGCAAAAGAATGTCTATATGAAGACATGATGCTTCACTTCAAGGTAAAGGTGAGGACACACTGGTGGCACCATCTCCAGGTGCCTGCTGGGACTGCCTACGCTCCTCCACACAATCAGCCAGCAAAGGTTATCCTGGGCTCAGGGGTTCATGCAGCCCAGCCACACACCACGGTTGCTCCTCTGTCCACAGCAGTCCTCCAGTTAAGACCAGTACAATGACATATTTAAAGACGCCAAACCCCTGGAGGTATGGTGTTGTCAGCAATTGGCTGCAGCAGCTACAGCCAGCAACTGGAAAACTCCTTTTTATTTAGCTGCAACTTCACTTCCTTCCCAAAACGCAGTCCCTTTGCTACTCTTTTCCACATTTCTCTTGTAGCAATGAGGTAAGCTCCCAAACCTCAGCCTAAGCTGCACTCACACCTCTTACAAAGATCTGGGTACTGAGAAATAGCAAAAGCATCTTTTTCTCCTTCCTTGCTGGGACATTCAGCACAGGGGTGTTTATTCATTTTTTATGGTTACATGGCTAGTGAGATAAGCTTTCTGTCCCCAAGAAGAACTCCCTTAAGTTTAGTCTGAGAGAAATTTCACATTATTAATACATATTCTGAAGTAAAGTCAAGTCTTACACAGATCCATTCCTCAATTCACATGTGAATTCCTATTCAAAAATTACAGCTTTCTTCAGTCATCTTGTCATTGATGATGCTCCTAACCCTTTAGTGAGACTTTTGGTGAAAACTATCATCATCACCATCATAACACTGCTCTTGGTTATACTACTTGGCTTACTCTCGGTGTGACAGGTGGGTCTTGGTGTAGCTGACAACTCCTGAGAAGAGCTCACAGCTGACTGCAAGAAAGGCAAGGCTCCCGCTTAAAAGAGCAGCCTGGAAATAAACCATTCATTAGTACTCTATGGCTCTGTAAACATTTTCCAAGCAAGAAATAATGTTTTTTTTTTTGACAATTAGGGCTTAGGTCTGAAAGGCTTTTGAAATGCTAATGTTTGACATTCCATGTCAGCCCTGCAGAGCAATGCCACTTAAGTGCATGGTGCTGCTCCAACTCTGCACAACCCCAGGCACTGCCAGACCAAACTCCTGTGACCAGAAATGCCTGTTTTCACACAGCAAAGTCCATCTTCATAGAAAAGTGTTGTTTTGTTGTTGTTTTTTTTTTTTCTTTTGGGGAGGATACTTTTACTTTTTTAATATATAGTTTTGACAGGAATTGTGATAACTCATCCATTTTCTTTTAGCTTTGTTTTCTCAGATTTTGGAGCCAGTAAAGCAGAGGTGACTCCATCAGTTGGTTTCTACAGTCTCTGGAGCTGGTTATTTGAGGAGGTTAGTGTCCTGGAGGTCTGTCACAAAACGAGCTGAGTGTGGAGGACCAGCTGGGAGAGCTGTTCCCACTCACACCAGTGCTGGCAGCACAGAGCTGAACTCCAGTAAATATCTTCATTTTTAGTAGCTGTTCCCCAGTACTAATTTTGCCATATGGGTCCTACCCCTATAATCAGGATCTATGATTTTGCATTTATTTTTCGAGTAAAATTATGTTCTGTTTGAGTATTTACAAATTTTACTATGAATGAAAACAGTCCTAAAGCTGGCATCATGGACATAAAGCACTTAATAAAGGCTGCTGTTTGTTTTGCCAAAATTCCTCAATGTTTTTGCTAGTGGTGTGATGGTACCAGAAAATTTAAGAAATGACAGCGAAGAAATATTTTTTGAAAGAAAGAATTCTTTTTATAATTTAGAGACGGTTAATTCCTTGTTTATTGATGGGGCTGTCACATGTATGTCCGTAGGTGTTCATTTGTCATTTGTATCACTTAATGGGGATTTAGCACTTTATAATCAGTGAGAACATTTCACTGCAAGTATGATGGTATGATGAGTTAATTAAGTATTCATTGTAATAACACTGATAATAACGAACTTATTTTGTATTCATTTTTCATGTGCATATGTTCTATATCTCCATAAGAGTAGTATTTTAATTCATCAATGGATATCAGAAATAAGCATAAAAATAAAAAACTGTCACCTAGGTCTTTTCTTCTACTTAATAACAGCTTATCACAAGGTAGAACATCACGAATACAACATGTCAGGGAAGCCCTATTGTGCAGTAGAGCACAGCGTAGTGTAGCAAAATCCCTTCCCAGTCGCCCCAGGGCATCCCATGGTGGGTGTCCCCTCGCAACAGCACTGCAGTTTCTGTCTTGGCGACTCCATTGTCTCTTGGCCAGACACCAAGGGAACGGCGCTGTTCTTGGGCACTGCCGCCCTGACAGTTTTGGAGTGTGTCTGCCAAACTGCCGGTTTATCTGAGGACATGAGTGGAATTATAATTGCACTGCGCACTGCAGGCAGGAGCTTCCCTGAACTGGCGGCTGGCAGAGGGCCACTAGCCCAAGACACTCCTGCCTATTCCTGCCTGCTGGCAGCCAGAAGAGGCGGGAGCACTGGAAACCTACGGGGACAGCAGGAGGGACAGCAAAACAGACCAGAAAACCTGTTAAAAGCTGCTAGCTAAAGCAGTATTTATAAAGGGAAGGGAAGGGAAGGCACAGCTGGAGGGAAGGGAGAACGAGGGGCTTTCTTCAGACATCAACAGCTCAAGATCCGTAGTGTGGGGTGTGTGTACTTCTAGAGAGCCGCAGATGGAGAGGAGACGGTACATCTAAATTTGTATCTGTTTAGGTAGCCTGTGCATTTACCAAGCTGTGTTTAAAATATGTTTCTTGCTTACATAGATCTGTGAAGTAACCTTCGCTGAGGTGCGCTCATCGTGGCCATCTCTTAGGTTTTTCAAGATGAAAAGGCAAGCAGTTTGCAGATAGTGGTAGGTGGTTTTGGGGTGTTCTCACAGATTCTGCTTCCTCATGCAGGAGGGGATGCAGAATGCTCTTTGGGAAAGGAGAGCAGAAAGGGATCTACGTTCACATGGTGTAGCTGACAGCCAGTGCCCATCACTACATAAGATGGGGAAGCCTCTGCCCAGAACAGAACTCCACCAGCAAGCAGCTTTGTGTGCTTCTGCACATCTCTCAAAGTTCTTCTTCTTAATTATTATTCTTCTATGCAGGTCCTGGATTGCAGAGCTTACCAGATCAACACGTCTGGTAAAGACAGCAGAGTAGCCGCCAGCAGCCATGGCAACAAGACCATTGAGCTAATGGAGGAAAAAGTAGAGGAAAAGGGGGAAAAATAGGTGGAGAAGGACAAAGAAAAACAATTAGTATCAGAGACAAGAAAAAAGCAGAAGCAAAGCATGTAAATTTTGGGGACAAAAAGATTTACTGTCTGTCTGTCCTTTTACCTTTTGCCAGACTGTACTGGGGATTGTGTGGAGCAAGGGAGCAGCAGCTGAAGGTAGATACCTCAGGTTCTTTCACATAAAAAAAAGCCTTTAATATACTTTGAAATTCTGTCTTAAAACAAGGAATCCAGATGAAAATTGCATTTTCTAAATTTTTCTCATCAGGCCTCTTATTTTCATTTAAATCCCTCCTTTAAATACTGAGAGTTTAGCGCATCACAAGGGGTCTGTCCTCAACAACACAACCAAGCCAAGCCCATACCCAAACTTTCACTCCCAGAGCTGCCACTGGAAAGCCTGGGGGGCTCCAGGTTGCATCCTGGGAGCATCAGGGGTAACCAGCCCCTGCCCTGGTGCTGCCAGCAGAGACAGCCAGGATGTGAAAGGCACCCAACACAGAGCAGAGCCACAGGCGTCAAGATGTCTAGAGCAGCATCGCTGGCAGGTGCAGGGAAGAATACACCATGTTCCTGGAGCCACTGCTGATCGCTCTGCAGCAGCCATGCTTAATATTTGATGCTGAATGTACTTCTCTTGTGTAAATGTTGATATTGCTTAATGCAGACTTTGGCAGAGAAGATATTGTAAGGTCACTTCTTAGGCAGCTGTACTCTGCAAATAACTCCTGTCTTAAGGGTCAGCTGGCTTTATCCCTGAAAATCGTTGGGAAAACTTGCAATCCTCAGAAATAATTTCTATGTTAAATAGGGATAAAAAAAGAATATAATATTAAAATATAATATTGATTGATATTGACTTCTAACAAAACTAATTGAGATTTTTCATCTGAATATTATGTAATCTTACATATTATAATTATGTAGAGGGTGGGGATTGACTTGCACTGAGGAAAATGTGATCATGCCGGGGGGGTGTCTGTTCACACAACCATTATATTCAACATGCTGCCATGGGTCAGTGACTGTAATTTAACTTCATGAGGGTTTTGCTGGGAACAATCACAAAACAATAACAAAACAGAGTTCACAGAGGGAAGAACTCCATGAGCAGTTCCTTTTACTGGGACTGAAAATGATAAAACTCTCACATCAAGGAAAGATCATTTAGGTTTGAGATGATTAACAGTAGTAGTGATTATTTTTTTTTTTTGTTTGCCATTAAAATATTAATAATATTTACATCTTATTGTTGTATAAAAGATTTAGCTAATAATATTAAATCATTATTAGTTGCAACTAATGTGTTGTATACTACCATGTCCATGATAAAATCAGGGGAAGGATTTTTAATCTTGAAAGGTCTTGGTAGACAACATGATTCCAGAAGACTGGACATGAGGTGATTAATAAACTAGATTATATTTTCTGACAAATTCAATCTCACATGCAGCGTGGTAATAATGACAATAACAATAAAATGCCGTAGCAGTAAGTTGCATTTGGTAAGCAATGATGAGAACAGTTGCTGTTGATCTTTTCTATCTGGTGGGCAAATGAGGATGTTAACAACCACAGTGAGGGCCTCAGTACTGCTAAGGGTGAGCCCAGCCTTTGCCATGTCCAAGGCAGGTGGAAACAGCCCTCTCCATAAGTTATTCTTGCTAGAGATACCTGCCCTGCAGAACTCCTGAGCTGCTATAAACAAAGCTTATCTCTTCTCCCTTGCCCTTCCCCAGCAATGTTTTGAACCCCGTGACATCCAGATCCTGGTGGGATGTGCCAATTCAACACAAGACCCAGTGGTCATGCCAACCTGTGCCAGTATTTAACCACCCTGATAGTAAATAATTTTTTCCTCACATCCAGCCCAAATCTCCCCTCTTTCAGCTCAAACCCATCACCACTTATCCTGTCTCATCCCAGAAAGAAGCTCCCAGCAATTCCGAGGCTTGTAGAGGGCTGAAGGCAGGGCTCAGCTCTCTCCTTCTCTCCACACCTCAGTGCAGCCTGCTCCCCCCTGCTTACTCCCCATCCATGCCCCTGCCAGCAGCACAGAGCCTTCACCCAGTGGCTCCTGGATTCTCTCTCTGGTTCCTCTGTGCCAGGCTGCATGGGCTTGAGCAGATCACCGAGACGTTCCTTTGCCTCGCTCATTCATTTTTAAAAATAGACATAATAGCCAGCTGCAGTTCTGGGTGAGTGTTATGCCCATTGGTCCATTAATATTTTCACATCAGTTTAAGCATTTAATGCATGTGATATCATTATATGTGCAATGCACCCACTAGCAGATGCGAAAGGAAGAGGCATGCGGTCCCAGTGGCCATCACACTTTGGCATGAAAGGCATGCCAATGAAGGAGAAGCAAGACTACACAGATCAGGTCACCCACAAGACAAGGGTGTGCAGAGTAGTGCAGTGCAGCTGCAGCCATCGCTCCAGCCACTCATGCCGGGAAATTTTCTCCAACATCCAAGGGGGAGAAAGACAAACACAGCAATTAACCCTTTTTTTAACAGTGTATTGATTTCCAGCATGGTGTCAGACAGAGCTGAATACATGCAATAGATAAAAAGCAGAACTGCCTGGCATGCAGTTTCTACAGTGATGTCAAAAGGCACAAACAAGGCAGGTAATATATACAGAAAAGTGGGATTCCAGAAGAACCGAATGCTAATAATTACAAAATTAATTCCGTCAATTAAAAATGAATACACTGCTGGAATGTTTAATACAATGAACACCAGATAAAATTATTGTTCAATCCAATTAAATCTCAACAAGTTTTTCTGAGAATGTGTATGGCATTTATTGAATTATCTCTGAACTTCTTATGCAAATCAGAGTTAGACCTGAATGCAGTATGCTAATTTCGAGCTGTATCTACATTCAGCGGCTGTAATACTCTTAGGAGGAAAAAAAAAATGGTTGAACTTCCCTTAAGATGACTGGTTGGAAGATGCCCTGTGGCACATGGAAGGGCAGCTGAGGCCATTCTCTCTCCTGTCTTGCCACCAAGACAGCCCCTTTTAGGGAGAAGAAAACTGGTTTAGGACAAAAGCTTTCAGAAATGGGGAGTTTCTTGCTTCTCAGCTGTGATGATTCTCTAAATGACCAGGTAGATCTCATTATGAAGTATTCAGCTGCCTCTTCATGGCATGGGCTTCATCAAAGACCACAGCTCGTATCTCACTTTTCAGAGAAGTGTTTATCCTGCTTTTAACAAATGCCTCTAAGAACAGGGAAAAGATCAGTTTCAGAATCAAAGTCAGTGATACTCCACCTAGTAAGTAGTCTTATGGGTGAGAAACCAATGCATCACCTGTGTCAGAAACCAAAGACTCCCTGCCTCTGGGCTTTCTAATGGTATTGATTACTCTCTGAGTTTTTAGCCCTGCTACATTTGAAAGTTTGAAACATAATTGTGAAATATAAGATGTTTAATAGATTACTTTGTATTTTTCATTTTACTTTCATGCAAGTTAATGTAAGTGAAAGTGTTTGTTGTCTGTAACAGGGAATTTGGTGCAATATATTGTATAATATATTTCAAAATTAAACAGTGGAGATTTAGGTTAGATATAAGGAAGAAGTTCTTCCCTGTGAGGATGGTGAGGCACTGGCACAGGTTGCCCAGAGAAGCTGTGGCTGCCTCATCCCTGGCAGTGTTCAAGTCCAGGTTGGATGGGGTTTGGAGCAACCCAGTCTAGTGGAAGGTGTCCCTGCCTGTAGCAGGGGAGTTGGAACTAAATGATATTTAGGCCATTCCCAATCCTGACCATTCTATGATTCTATATTACAGTGTTCCTCCAAGCAGAAATACAACTGTACCTATAAATAAAAATCTCTATCAG